TTGCTACGTCGGTTCCACAGGTATTGGGCAGATTCAATGAACCTAAAAGGCGGTTTGCTCCTTCACATGGGGATCAAGCACATTTCCAAGGACCCCCTCCTCTCCACCTATAAAAGGGGGCTCTCTCCTCCCTCTTATTAACACACAAGAGAGCACAAGAGCATCACAAAGCAAGAGAAAGAGCATCTCCACTCCATGGGCTTAGGCCCTAGCTAGCTCTAGCAACTTAGTAGGGAGAGATGTGAGGGAGAGTTTAGGGAAGAAGTGTTGGGCTTGTCGGTAACCTTCCCCCGCTTGTACCTCGGTGAACATCGGCTTTGTACCTCAACGGGTATCTTAGTAAGTGTTCATGGTTCTTTTGATTATAAAGTCTTTGAGTAGTTACGCTATACTTTTACTTGTTTATGGGATGGATCGTCCGTCCCCTGTGGTGGATACTCTAGTAGAAGGGCCACGATAAAGACGGATAACCCTTGTTAACACACTAGAGTAGCAATCGATAGCATAGGCGTGGTGTCAGGCTAGAGGCTACCTTCGCTTTTGCCTCGTATCCCACGGTTGAGGGTAGGCGGTGGTGGTGACAGCCCCGTCCGTCCCTTGTAATCCCCACATTCGGGTATAACATAGAGCTGGAGGCCGGAGGTGCCTGGCAGACGGTATAAGCCGGTGCCCAAAGTAAGCAAGTAATAGTAGAGTTTATCTATCCTTAGACCCTAAGCCATAGGAATCCTTCTCTACCCTCATCAGCTATCCTTGTATTGTACTTGGATGAATAAGCTAGAAGAAATACCTCCGTTCCCTATGGAAAATACGATACCCTGAATACTTCCGAGTGAAAGCTACAACGGTAATTTCATTCGTTTGTGGATTAACTTCTGTAGACGTTAAGAAATACTAACAATGACCCATCGGTTTCGGGGCTCGCTTGTGGTATTAGGAACAACCGCGACAAACCTGAGGAGAAAGGATTTGACAGAATTCGAGTATCCTCAACACACCAGAAGCGGGCAGACCCTTACAAGACGAGGCGTGAATGAAGAGGAATCTCCCTTCATTCACCGCCTGGTAATTGCGGATGCGGCCGTGCCTCGCATGGGGCACAAAGCGCTAGACACCGCCATGGGTGATGGCGAGAGCCTCTCGGGTCGCAGGCTACGGAAGCACGAAGGAGGTAGACAAAAAGTCTTGCGGATCTCGACACGCTACCATAGCCCACGGACCGAAGAAGATTGGGATGACGAGGGGAGACGATATCAATTTCCCAATGATTTCACGAGGAATTGACATCTTTGCCGCCTCTCACCTCCCTACCCACAAAATCCCTTCTAGCACCTGCTGTTGGGGGACGCTACGTCAGCTCCTGGCCACCATGAGCTACTCCCAACGAAGTGCGCGACTAGAGCCACACGGTTCCCCCTGAATGCACAACCTTCGGCTCCTCGCCATCTCCTCAAATACCCGGCCATTCGGGGAAATCCAAGATAACACGAAGCCACAGCCATGAATGGTTCGAACGAAAGAAAAACACCTACTTATAGGCCCAAGGGCTGACCGAACAACCTAAAGCCTCCGCGCCATGCGACGCACCGCGGGAGGATAGGGCCAACGACAGATGCTCGTAAAAGGTCGGAGAAAACAAGACCTTCCTAAAGGCAAGACCAGTATAACGTCGATAAGACTGCTTGTTCCCACCTGGGTCACGAACCCCGATGCGTGGCGCACTAACACAGCAAGGCTCGGCGGCCACGTACCGCATCATCAGGACGTCCTGACAAAGCTCAACGACCATGAGCTAACGCTCAAACACACACACACATCAGCGCTTTCACGATCACTTCATGGTCGTAAAAACGCTCGGGGGGCTACTGTCGGGGTTATAACCCCGGGGTATCTCAGGGCACCGATTAGTTGGCAGGCCATGTGGCCCACAACTTGCCAGTCGACGAAGGCCCGAACGACCAAGGCCCAGCAAAAGCTGAGCGGAGCTGGCTAGGCGCCAAGGCCGGGGTCATCCCCGACCCCTTCCACCCGCCTTAGCACACGGCGCTCGCAAGACGCACGACCTCTCCTCGTCACGACCCCCGGAAGGGATGGGGGGAGGTAGAGCGTAGCTAGGCGCTCTTGCTCTGACAAGGGCAAGCATGCCGCACCAACAAGACAACACCACACCACAGTGGCAACGGGTACGATACCCACCGTCCAAATACGGACCGATTAGACGCTTGTACAATCCCACGCACTATGGGATGGGATCCACGACAAGGGACTCGATGAAAAGGCCATCCAGACCGGCAGAGTGCCCCAACCCCGACGATCGGGGTCGTGGTCCTCGGCCCCGCAAAGTGACCAAGTGATTGACGACCCAGGGCAGCTACCTACTTTGTGTACGACGCCCCTAGGAACCAGGAGACGATGACGAAGGCCACGACGGACACCGCGTTGCACAGGACGGCTGACGAACCACCATCGAGGCTACAGTGCCACCACGGCCGGCACAGTAGCACCACATCACACCCTGCCGCAACGTGGCCAGAAGACCATGACGATAGCCACGACCGGACGTGCACCAGAAGACAGCGTAGCTTGCAAGCTAAGTTAGCTAGGTCCTCCCTCAGGCTCTCGACCCTTTAGTCGAGAGAACCACCTCTTTATATAAGCCCTGGCTCCGAACTCTATATAAGGGCAGCTAGGGCACCCTTCTCGCTACGGTTCACATCCTCTACCATTCCATTCATTCATCATTGTAGTATGGCTTCTGGAGCTTCTCTTCGGACAGCCCTTCGCCTAGCATAGGTCATTTCATCTCTTTCACCATTCTTACACCTCTATTGTAAGAACTTCAGAGCATTCAAGCGAGGAACACGCACTCGGTCATCTCTGAGACTGGACGTAGGGTTTCGGCCCGAACCAGTATAAATCCTCGTGTCTATTGGATGGTACCATCGTCTTTCTAGAGCAGCGCAGCAATCATATAAGTTTACTAGTCTGGTTTACAAAACACCGACAAGTTAAATTTAAAATATTTGATTTCTCGATGAGTGAGACATATACTCTTATTTTTTAGATGGAGCAAGTACATGCTGAGTCGGGGCGGAGCCAGCTATCTGGCTAGCTTTGGCGGCCGTTAAAATATGTAGGAAATAACAAATATATGTAGTATATATACATGATATAAAAATACATGATATCTGTTGTATCTGGTGGCTCGGCTGGTGATAGGCCTATATAGCAATTAGCAAACTCCACAAAAACAAGCTAATCTCCTCTCTCTCTCTCTCTCAAAAAAAGCTAATCTATCCCGCAGCCACTAGCATGATACGTGCGGTTCTTTTCCTCCCTATAAATCTGATCAAGTGACTACTCCGTCCATTCGTATCCTGAAGTCCGATGACAAGTCCACAATGACATCAAAGAAGAGCAAAAAAATACGTAATGAAAGGTATGTTTAAATTTTGAATTCTAACTAGTCTACTTTTAAAGTATTAATTAACCTTTTATTTTACCTAGTAATTTTTAAAAAATAATTTACAGAATTATTTGAAGAGCATTTTTGCTAAGCAACCAGATCTGTTTGTAATATATATATTTATGTAACATTTTACTATACATGTTTGATTTTTTGTAAACCTTGTCATACCTGAAAATTATTTCTGCCTCACCACTGATGCTGAGCATCTCAGCTTCCTCTGCATGTCCACGGTCAAAGCGAACCGTGCAGACGTAGTAAGTAGTTGTGCATGTGCTCCTTTAATTTATCTTCTCCTGCTATTATTATATACTCCTATATAGTTCCAATGCCAGCCAGGTTAGCATCGTTGAATAAAAGCAGCGTGAACATTCACCCTTGATTGGTCCCGGCCGGCCTTGGCAGCATATCCGTCGCTTCTTTTACGGCATGACATGTGTTCCATTTCATTGTCCATGATCTTCGTGATCAAGAGGACACGTACAGTACTACAGTCACATTACAGTCAAATAAGATACTCGATCCATATTAAACTTTCTGTACCTCTTGGCCGAGCTTATTTCGTCCCACGGAATTTTTAATGTTACAAGCATATTATATATTATTGTATTATAGATATAGTGGTGCCGTACATGCGTGCTGGACTGCTTGTCCAGCTACACAGGGCGAGAGCGAGATGAGTCAAAGTCGATCATGGCAATGCAAGTCTCGTCGCAAATTCGCACGCCTCATATCGTCGTCTCATCTCATCGTCTGGTCCGGTGAACAGACCGTCGCTGTCCGTGGGAGGTCGATCTGCAACGTCTCATTTTCTCATTCATTCAGCAGCTAGATCACGTATACATACTCCTGCTTACATACGTACATACAACAAGTAAAAAACGGAGATTAGTCTTGTTGTGTCACGGCCCTCTTGCCGCCCGCTTTCAGCACCCGGCAAGATATATAGCTAGGTGTACGTGCTTGATTGGAGTCGAAAATTAAACGATCGAGCGAGGACCGAGGACTATTGAGGCACATTTTCTACAGAACACGCGTACGCAATTCCTGAGGACGACACATCAAGTTTGACTTGACTTATCATGTGAAGCGTAATAGCCTCCGCTATTCAGCTGCTGGGCCATCTCTCTCGGCGGATCCGGAGACCCGACGCGCGTCGTCCTTCTCGATCCGCAACCGCATCCCCATGAGCAGAGCAGGGCCGCCACTTCATCGTTTGCGATCTGCTACTCCTATAAACAGGCCAGGAGGCCCTGCTGCCTGCGCCGCCTCTCCATCGATCTCTCTTGCCATAGCTCAAGGTTAAGTTGTGCCATCGTCTATCATCCATTGCATGGGGACGCAAGCACCGCCCCAGAGCTTCTCTCCTCAAAAGGTACCTACGTAGTACGTGCCTTCTTCTCGATCGATCTGCCTCTCTCTCTCTCTCTCTCTGATCTCTCTCTCCAAGGAAATTGAAATCTTAGATGATAGGACTTGTTCATGTTCATCCACTGGACGTCCCGGTTAACAACGTAAACTCACCAGTCACCACATGCAGGAGAAGGACGATGGCGGCAGGACCCAACAGGAGAAGTTGATCGATGAGTGGCTCCCTATCAACTCCTCCAGAAAGGCCAAGTGGTGGTACTCCGCCTTCCACAATGTCACCGCCATGGTTGGTGCCGGCGTGCTTGGCCTTCCCTATGCCATGTCCGAGCTTGGCTGGTACGTGCCTACAATATTATCTTTCATCTCACAAATCCAAATTCCTCTTCCGTATTTCAGTTTCGATCCCCGGTCGACTCGCTCATCAAACGATTAGTTTAATCTGTTGCTCAATTATCTCTGGGATGTTAATCAAGCGCCTTTAATTTGTTTGTTCTGGTCGTACGTTGATCAATTAGCCTTCAATCAATCAATACAAATAGATTGATGAAATAAGAAAAATCCAGATTTTTTTCTCTGATTGGTGCCAAAAAAATCTCAAGATGCCTCATTTGTCTCTTTCCGGCCCTTATGTTGACCGCTAGAGGTATCTTGACTTGCCTCTCCCCTATTTTTGTTTTTTATTAGTATTAGTAGTCTCATGCGTGTTAATTTGTCACTGTTGGGCCGGTCTTGTCTAGATGTGACAGTTAGAAGACTAACATGATAGATACATATACAAAACTCTTAACATCAGTCACCTGATAATAAACAAGTTACTAGGAGATCGACATGGTTTTAATTATTTGATTGGCATGCAGGGGTCCTGGCATCGCGGTGATGATCCTGTCATGGATCATCACGCTGTACACGCTATGGCAGATGGTGGAGATGCACGAGATGGTGCCAGGGAAGCGGTTCGACCGGTACCACGAGCTCGGGCAGCACGTGTTCGGCGAGCGGCTGGGCCTCTGGATCGTGGTGCCGCAGCAGCTCGCGGTGGAGGTGAGCCTCAACATCATCTACATGGTCACCGGCGGCCAGTCCCTCAAGAAGTTCCACGACGTCATCTGCGACGGCAACTGCAAGGACTTCAAGCTCTCCTACTTCATCATGATCTTCGCCTCCGTCCACTTTGTCCTCTCCCAGCTCCCCAACTTCAACTCCATCTCCGCTGTCTCCCTCGCTGCCGCCATCATGTCGCTCAGGTAACACAACATACATACTGAAACCAGCCAACTGTTGCATTTCGGAAAATCTCTGAAAACACCTACTGAAACCATAACTGTTGCATGTCCGGCAAATCTCTAAAAACTAGTACATTCACATCATGTGCTACACTTGTTGTGCTAGTTACTCGACTATTGCGCGGGGCGCATCGCTTGACAAGGGAAAGGCGCAGACGTGGACTATCATCTGCGCGCGCGACGACGACTCCAGGGAAGGTGTTCGGCTTCCTCGGGGCCTAGGGGACGTCGCATTTGCGTATTCGGGGCACAATGTGGTGCTGGAGATCCAGGCCACCATCCCGTCCACGCCGGAGAAGCCATCTAAGAAGGCCATGTGGAAGGGCGCCTTGGTCGCCTACATCATCGTCGCCATCTGCTACTTCCCCGTCACATTCGTTGGGTACTGGGCCTTCGGCAGTGGCGTCGACGAGAACATCCTCATCACGCTCTCCAAGCCTAAGTGGCTCATTGCCCTCGCCAACATGTTTGTCGTCATCCATGTCATTGGCAGTTACCAGGTACATACATACATTTCACTTTTCCATCCATGTCGTGCTGGTACATGATCAAACTCAGTACGTACACTGCATATGTATATATCATCGTCTCTCAACTAAGCTGAACTCCGTTGTTGGCACAGGTTTATGCCATGCCGGTGTTTGACATGATAGAGACGGTGCTGGTGAAGAAGCTGCGGTTCGCTCCAAGCCTAACGCTCCGTCTTATTGCCCGGAGTGTCTATGTTGGTAATGCCTCTATCCGAAACGAACACTGAAGATGTGCTCACCAATATTTTTTTTTTTTGAGAAATCATGTGCTCACCAAATGAGCATCTGACGTTCTAACAAACAAGACTAACAAGTGTGTGCAACCTGTGCAGCGTTCACAATGTTTGTAGGCATCACTTTCCCCTTCTTCGGTGGATTGCTCAGTTTCTTTGGCGGATTAGCCTTTGCACCAACAACTTATTTTGTAAGCTTCCAAAGATCCATAGTTGACCCATTTTTTTTCTGCTACAACAGTGGTGCATTCTTAATTTCGCATTGTCCTAATCATCGATATGATCGAGTCCCAATAGCCATTGAGATATAAAATCAAGTCCAGAAATGTAACTTCAGAGCTCACCAAATCTTGCTTGTTTCTTCCAGCTTCCCTGCATCATGTGGCTCAAGGTTTACAAGCCCAAACGGTTCGGCCTTTCATGGTTCATCAACTGGGTAATAAGAACTACGAAACATAAACAACCTTCATTTCTTCAATATAACGCCTTTGCTAAGATTGTCCTCTAATTTATCTGTCCCCCATGTTCTTCAGATCTGCATTGTAATTGGAGTGCTGCTGCTGATTCTGGGTCCGATAGGAGGGCTCCGGCAGATCATTTTGTCAGCCTCGACATACAAATTCTACCAGTAAAATTGATTAACTGGAGTTGTATGCATCACAAGATGCAAAAGGCAAGAAGACTTGTTCCGTTATCTCAAATAAATTAAATAGGGTTAACTGGACACATCAACTGGGAATACGATAGATGGCTTCAAATTCAAAAGTTGATCCTGCTGCTGATGTGGCTGTTTTGTTACCTATGGATTAAATCAGGGTTCGTTTTGAGTTAATCATAGGCATAACCGCATAAGTATGCCACTTTTCTTATGTTTCCTAGGGTTGATTGGCTTTTATGTACACGAGGGAGATTGATGCTAGTGGCTTGTAGGAGTATTTCTATCATCCATAGCATACTGTATCTTGTAGTTGGAACATTAAAAGAGCAAGCATTATTTTGATGTGTTGGACTTTGTAGCTTTCACATTTATTATCTTGGCATACAAGCACAGGTTTCGATCTTTGTTGAGAACACTACCGTTGAACTACACTAGGTGCTCTCTATTCGGGTGATGTTGATGAACTACACAAGTTGTTCTATATTCGGATGTTGATTTTTTTAGATAATGGAAAATTCTAGCTTCAGTCCTCTTCAAAAAAGAGGCGTCAGTCCAAAGTTAAAGAAATACACCCACTAACGAAAAATGAAATGTCATCCATTAGATGCGAAGAACTTTATGCCGTAGGATTGTAAGACTCAAAACGCCTCAGGCACCCAATGTTTGTGATCATCCATGTTAAAATGATGATGATCAAGTACTAAAACAATCTCTAGGATTAGCGAGGATTGAGATGAATTCACGCTCTTCATTCCACAACGTAGTTTAACGCTCTGCAATGACGGTTTTGTGTGGTTCAGGTAACAAAACCCAAGATAACTTGTTATTTTACAAAAACAATTTTCAGCAACGGGAAAACAATTGTCAGCAATGGGAGCATTTTTGGGTGGAGGCAGCTCCTGATTGAGGTGGCCTCTGAAGATGCAATTTCAGATATGGCTCCAACTCCAACCGCCTCTACAAATTCATCTTCAGAGGTCATTATCGCCATCTCGAAAGATGAATTTGTAGACACGATGGAGTTAGCTGGAGCCGCCTTTGCCGCATCTACAAATGGTCCGTGTATATGTAGTAGCCCCTTCTTCCACCTCGGGAATGATTGTAGTTGTAGGCACCATCTTCCCCTTCTTTGGTGGATTGATTAGTTTCTTGGGCGGTGAAAGAATGATAATGGCCGGCTTAACTTTTCATTCGTTGAGCAAGATATTTATAGTACAAGATACATGACTCTTCATATGCTAAGACTTTTGATTCTAAGTGTAAGGAAAATGGACCTTGGCCCATTTAAGTTGGATTTTGGTGTTTGATGATCAACACAACCAAATTGGACTAATGAATTTGCGAGTGTTTGTTTTATAGTCCAATAGGGTGCAAACGTGACTTGGACAAAGGCGACGAGGTGATCCGATGATCAACACCTCAAGCAAAGACCTTAGGAGCATAAAGGAAGACAAAAAATATCAAGCAAAGTTCAAGCATGAAGAAAGAAACCAAGCCAAATGCAAGATCGCGAAGAAACGAAGAAAATGGAGCATCACAGGGAGCTCCGGACCTAGAGACACAGTGGTCCGGATCATAGCCTCCCAGTCCGGTTGCATACCCTAGTTCAGGGCGTTCTGGACCTAGTGAACAGTAGGTGGACCGAACCATCGATCCCCTCAGTCCGATTATGAATAGAGAGGTTCCAGAGGGCGCGGATTGCTCCGGACCGAGTCGGGTTCAAGGGCTGCGGACCATCAATGGTCCGGTCCGGTTGGCTGGCCCTGAGACGCGCCAAACGACCATTTTAAATGGTCGGCTATCAGAGACCGTTGGAGGAGCCAGACCCAGGGAGAATGGTTCGTACCACCCTCCAGCGTCCGGTCCGGTTGGTGCGTAGAGAGCCCACCAAAGGGACTAACAGCTCTATTTAGTTAGGGGCTTATAAATACCCCCATGGCCGGCCAAATTGGGGATGGTGAGAGCCCAAGGAATTGCTATATGAGTTGAGACTCAATTTTAGTTGCTCTAGCCACCAAAGTGCTTAGTGAAATATTCAGTGATTAGCGTAGGTGCTTTGGGAAGTGCTTAGGTTAGTTAGACCACTGCTTATGCGTTTACTCTAGGTTTAGGCCTAGTGTTTAGTGAGGTTTGCATATCTCTTACCATTCGGTGCTTGCACGCACCATTGTTGTACTCAGTGGGGATTGTAAGTCTTGCGAGACCACACCAACTGCGTTTGTGGTGTGACCGCATAGTACCACTCCAGGTCCTGGACCGCTCATCACCATTCCTAGAGTGGTTGGCACCATTGCAGGAGTGCTCGGCACCAGCTTAGAGTGCTCGGCACCACTTCAAGACCTCTCAGTTCCGCTACGGGAGCGTTCAGCACCCGTCCTGGAGTGGTCGGCACCACTGCAGGACCGCTCGGCACCACTCCTCAAGTGCTCGACACCCTTCCCGGAGTGCTCGGCACCGCCCCAGGAGTGCTCGGCTCTGTTGCTGGAGTGGTCGGCACCTCCTCTCCAGCGTCTCCACCACCATGGATGACCAAGTGCTCGACGATGAAGGTGCTGGTGAAGCTGCTAGCTTCCCCCGTGCCCGGACTATCCTAGTCCCAGGCCACCTTCTCGTCGAACACGATGTCGCGCGAGACAACCACCTTGCCTCCGCGTGGGTCGTAGAGCGGGTACACTTTGGTACCTTCCTCGTAGCCTAGGAGCACCATCGGTGTGCTCTTGTCCTCCAGCTTGGTGAGGACCGGCTTCGTCTTACTGACGTGGCCAATGCAGTCGAATGTTCGGAGGAATGACACGCTCGGCTTGCGCCCATACCAAGCTTCGAATGGCGTCACGCCCTTCAGGGCCTTTGTGGGCGCGCGGTTGAGGATGAACACCGCCGTGGTCACCGCCTCTCCCCAAAACTTTGCCGGCATGCTTTTGGCCTTCATCAAGGATCGAGCCATGCCAACCACCATCTGGTTCCGCCGCTCCACCACGCCATTCTGCTATGGCGAGTATAGCGCGGTGTGGTGTCGCACCACACCCTGATCCGCGCAGTACACAGTGAACTCCACCGAAGTGAATTCGCCACTGCGATCAGTCCACAGCACGTGCAGCTTCTTGCCGCTCTCCGCCTCCGCGCGCGCCTTGAACTTCTTGATTGCCTCCGCCGCCTCTTCCTTGCTCGTCAGGAGTTGTAGCCACATATAGCGACTGCAATCATCCACGAGCAGGAGGAAGTACCGCCGACCACCGTTTGTGGCTGGCGTGATTGGCCCACAGATATCGCCGTGGACGAGCTCGAGAGCGTCCGCCACGCGATACTTGGCCGACATTGGGAACGGCAGCCTCCTTTGCTTTCCGGCCAGGCAGCTGTCACACAGCTCGCCTGCGTGCTTGATGTGGGGCAGCCCTCGGACCATCTTCTCCAGCCGACCGAGCGTGTCGAAGCTAAGATGGCCGAACTGGGCAAGCCATAGCCATGGCTCCTCCATGTGCCGTGCAGCCAAGCAGATGGGCTGCTCCACCTTCAAGTCGAGCAGGTACAACCGGTTCCAGGACCTCTTCACCTTGGCAAGAAGCCATTACTCCCGGTCCCTGATCCTGAGGACGTCGTCCTTGATCAGTACCTCGCTGCCGCGCTCATCCAGCTGGCCAATGCTGATGATGCTTGAACGCAGCTACGGGATGTAATATACATCCGTCAACGCGCGGTGCTCGCCGTTCTGGCACCTGAAGATGATGGTGCCACGCCCTCGGATCGCCACCCTTGAGCCGTCACCGAACTTCACCGTGCCGGTCACGTTGCCGTCGAGCTCAGAGAACACTTCCTTGGAGCCCGTCATGTGGTTGCTGGCGTCGGAGTCCAGGTACCACCACTGCTCCTGCTCGCCGCCCACACGTTCGAGGTGGACTTGGGCGCACGGTTCGTCGAGGTTGACAGCCTTCAAAGCCTTAACCGTGGTCGGCTCTGCTGCTGGAGGTGTCCGCTCCGCTGTTGGAGTGTTCGGCACCTCCTCTGGAGTGGTCGGCTCCACTCCTGGAGTACTTAGCACCCCCTCTGGAGTGGTCGGCTCTGCTGTTGAGGTGCTCGGCACCCCCTCTGTAGCCTTCAGAGCCTTCCCGTGCCCTTCCACCGCCATCACCTCTCCCTTCTCCTTGGCCTCAACGTCGTGTAGAGCATAGAACGTCGCCATCAGGAGAGTGGCTTCATCATCATCATCTGCCTGCGCCAGATGAGCCTCAGCTTTCTTTTCCTGCTTGCGATTTGGGCACTCCTTTGCCTAATGACCTGTCTTCCCGCAGCGCCGGCAGGCGTTGGGGTCGACCTTCTTCTTCTTCTTCTTCTTCTTCTTCTCTGAAGAAGCCTTGCCGCGGTGCTTGCCATCGCCACCGCGGTTGGAGGAAGCTTCCCCGGACTTCTTCACCTTCATCAGAGCAGCCCACTCCTCCTCTGTCAGCAGCAGCTTGCCGCTGTCCGTCGTTGCTGTCGCCTGCTCCAAGCGTTCGTCCACCGCCCGCAGACGGCCTGTCACATCCTCAATGGTGAGGATGAACAAGTCCAGCATCATCTCTATGGAGAGAGCGGTCTGGCTGTACTTCGCTGGGACGGAGTGGAGGTACTTGGAGACCACCTCTTCTTCGTCGATGGTGACACCGTGGCTCCTCAGCTTGCTGATGAGTGACTGCAGGCGGAGGGAGAAGTCCTCCACCGACTCACTATCCTTGAACTTGAAGTTGGCGTACTCCTGCTTCAGCAGCTGGGCCGTCGTCTTCTTTTCGTTGTCGGAGCCGACGCGCATCGCTGCAATGGCTTCTCACGCCTCCTTAGCAGAGTTCTTCGCCCCCAACGGCTCCCTATACTCCGCCGGCACAGCAGCGAGGATGGCCTCCAACGCTGACATGTCGTCTTCTTCGTTGTCGGTGCCCTTGTCAATGGCATTCCAGAGCCGTCGGGCTCTGAGCTTGACCTTTATGGTCACCGCCCACTCGT